CATAATGGTAAAACACGATGCAGCGAGACTGACTTGCATAGGAAGGGTCCAGGTTTGTGCTCAGGGACCTCCCTGAGTACAGTGGGCACCCGTGAGCCCGAGAGCCAGACAGAACTAGCTGAAATGAGGGGTGGATCATGATGTTCAGATCCTGCTGGGATGCTATCTTTCTATTTCTTTTGCTGGCTCATGGAAGAAATAAAGAAACTTAAAACAAACAAACAGAAAACAAGAATGAGGCCTGAAGTACCAAGCTGATGTCTGTCTCCAACTGTCAACCCCTGGAGCACCTACAAGGAATTCTCCTGCTATCTGGAACTAGTTGGAAAAACCTATAGAGGAGTGAAGAGAGTACCACCAGGAGACTCCAGCTCTGACACTCACAAAGTTACACAATCGCTCTGACCCCGCCTACTATCTGCTCTCCAGAAAGCCTTCTAGTCATTATTCCCTAGATAGACAGTCCCGGGCTTAAACGAAATGCCTTGAACACAGGGAAATACTTTGTTTGTTTGCTTGTTTGTTTGGTTTTTGCCAGATGGTGCGGGTGCTCACAGGAGACAGAGAGAGATAAAGAGAGGGAAAGTGAGAAGTCATCCCTTGGAAAGAGAGTCATACTACAATCCCCTTCTCCTCTACTCTCGTCCTGGGATTTTGGACATGCACGCACATGATTTTCAAGCTGCCAGGTCCAGGACTATAACCACGGTCAGCCATGTGGGAGTCCAGCACCTTAACTACCAAGCCACCTGCTGGTACCCAGGGGATACTTTTTAAAACCAGAGTTCCTGGGCAACGCTCATACCAACAGTCCACAACTTTAACAAAGGCCACATTCTTTTTTCTTTTAACAAATGTCAAACTTCCTTAAAGCCAACAAAAGCAAAGCCAAAGTCATGCCTTGAGCAATTAGAGGAGAACTGGGACAAAGAGGCTTTCTTAATGGCTTGTTAGAATTCTGTAAGGAGCAGTCCTCACAATAAATTCCCTTATATTCATTATTGGTCTGAAATAATGGTACTAAAATTCTGTCAACACCAGGACCTGTCTTTTTGTCGCTCAAATAAATCCAGACAACAGCAATGAGTTTAGTGGAGGCACTTGAATCACCAGTGAATTAGAATTTTCAGCGCCAACAGCAAGGAGTCAGTAGGCCTGAGATAAGTGAAAACAGAAGTTGCCATAGTAACTTGCACATTTACCCTAAAATGGCACGAGTTGGGGGTGGGGAAGTAGGTCAATATTTCTGCTTAACTAGCTTTATTCCTTGCTTTCTCTCCTCTTCTAAAGCAGCACCTTCCTCCTTTCCCACCTCCAATAGGAGAAAGAGAAGGAAAGTCAGACGAGCAGTTACAAAAAAGCTAGGGTGGGTAGAGGCTTAGGTACAAGGACGGGGAACCCAGAGGATGGCCAATAAAAATCTCCTGAGTACTCTGAGACTATGCCTGGGATAGCAGTTGCTGATCAGGGGCACCAGTGCTAAGAAACTGTTGCTGGGTTACTACAAATCACAAGCTGCCATTTTCCTGTAGCAGTTTAAATGCATCTAATGGAACACTTGGGAATGCATTAGTAGCAGCTTGGGGTTGGAGGTAGTGGTGGGGAGGGAGAAATATTCCAGCATGGGAGATCTGAGGCCCTTAGCAAGAGAATGCAATCTTTGATGGTTAGAAACTATAAACAGGCCTTCAAAGAGAGGACGGGAATGAGGCTTATGAGGTTCTTTTTCAAACTAAGCTGAATTTGCTATTACAGAAACATAGTACCTTTTGGTACTTGGATCTGAGATGGCTACTAATCTGAGAGGGCAGGGCGGCGCTGGTCTCTGAGCGGGCATAGCAAGTGCCAGCCCTCATAATCAGCTCGTCCACCTGCAGTGCCGACCGTGGGAAGCAGGTTAAGCAGAAAGCATCTGGAAACAGTTGCTGTCTCACTTTCCTATGGCTGTTAGCGTCTGCACAGGGATAACTTAAGGCATTACTAATGACTGTAACCATTTGGTATGAAAGTCCTGCTATCCAGAAGACTGTAGAAAGGAAAATCCCTCCTGGGGCCAGGTGGTGGTGCAGGTATAATGCCATTGGACCCAGATGGAAAAGGGCCTGGATTAGTGTCCTGTGTTTCCTGAACACACCGGGTGGGCATATGTGTGCTTGTGATCAGGGCTGGCTAAGACTGCAAGTGAGTTGCAGGGCAGGGACTCTGTTGGGGATGCCTGTCTTTTGCTGTCAAGAAAGAAAGAAAGAAAGAAAGAAAGAAAGAAACAAACAAACAAACAAACTTAAAATCCATATGGTTCAATTCAAAAAAAGAAAAAGCATCTTCTGTTTTTTTTTTTTAGATGGCACATGTGCTCGCCAGAGAGAGACAGAGACAGGAAAGAGAAAGCATTCCCTCATGGAGAATAGTCACATCGCAATCCCTTCTCCTCCAACTCTCCCTGCCTTTGGGGACTTTTGGCATGCGCATATACACAAGAGCACAGTGCTTCTCTAGCTGCCGTGTCTAGGACTTGAACCATATGGTCAGCCATGTGGGAACTGGCTGCCTAACCACTAGGCCACAGAGCCACCACTAGAAGCATTTTTTCAACCAGTGACCATTTCAAACACTATCCTCTAGATACACTACTGCACTGTTTAGAAGTGAGTCTAGGCTTTCACAAGAAAGGACATTCAAAGAGGACTAGGGAATGTATTTCAACTCAGCAGCACATCAAGTTGCAGAGTAGGGAAGGACAGGCAGTCTCAAATTTGGACTCATGGCTTCAGAAACAGAAAGCATCTGCAAACTGTCCCCTTGTGCTTCTACATGTCTCTATTCCTCTGCCCTACAAAATCAGGACAGAGACTCAGAAGCACAGCCATGAAAGTTAAGATGACTTAAGAGGGGTTAGCAGGTATGTGGTTCAGGCAGCTGGATCCCACATGGCAGACTTCATGATTTGAGTCCCTTGGCAGCTTAAGAATTATGCTGGGTTGGGCTCAGCAGGTGGCATGGTGATTAAAGGCACTGGGTTCCCACATGGCCAACTACAGTTTGAGTCCTGGACCTGGTGGTTTGCTTTCTCACTTTCCTCTCTCTCTTATTCTGTCCATCTCTGGTCAAATTAAAAGAAAGAAAGAAAGAAAGAAAAAAGAAAAGAAAAGAAAAGAAAAGAAAGAAAGAAAGAAAGAAAGAAAGAAAGAAAGAAAGTCCCCCCCCCCCCAAAGAAAGCAAGCCACCTGGTTCAGACCTTGAACAATGGCTTGTTTGAAACTTTTTATTCCAGAAAATGTTCATGCATACACAAACCAGAACAGGACAATGACTATCACTCAGCTTCACAAAGGGTATTTTTTTTTTTTTTGGAGAGATTTTCACTATAGGGCGCGTGCGCTCACCAGACAGACAGAGAGAGACATAAGAGACAGAAAGTGAGAAATCACCCACCTCAAGGGGGGTGGTCATGCCACAATCCCTTCTCCTCCATTCTCCTCTTGGGATCTTGGGCAGGCACGCACACGCGCCCGGCATGAGTTTTAAGCCACCAGGTCTGGGACGAGAACCGCGGTCAACTACGTGGGAGTCCAGCGACATAGCCATTACGCTAACTGCTGGTTCCCAAGTATTCTAGGGTTCACCTTAAAGCTGAGACAGAACCTTTCACTAGAATGATCCCTAAGTGTCATGCATCCAGAGCCTGTAACCCAAAATGCAACTTCGAAATTTCCCAGGAACCCCAGGAGCACTATGCTAGCAATCTAACAGTGGTAAAGGAAAAACAGACTTTAGTTTCAGTTCTTGAGGAGCAGCCACCAGAATAACTATACTCACTAAATCTTTCTACACGTTTCATTACCTGACTTTTAAAATTTCTTGTTTTTAAAGAATTATCTTACTTAACTTTATTTATTTATTTTAATTTGACCAGAGAGAGACAGAGTGAGAAAATGAGAAAGCAAGCTGCCAGGTCCGAGACTCAAACCATGGTCGACTACGTGGGAGTCCAGTGCCCTTAATTACCACGCCACCTGCTAGCCCCTGAATTTTTAATTTCTTTTCTTTTTTAATAATGTAACTTAATTAAATTAATTAATTAATTAATTAAAAGTTGACCAGAATGAGAGAGAGAGAAAGAGAAAATAAGAAAGTAAGCCACCAGGTCTAGGACTCTAACTGTGGTCTGCCATGTGGGAGTAGAGCACTCTTAACCACCACACCACCTGCTGGCTCCATGAATGTTTAGTTTCTAAAAGATACCTTTCTGGGTCAGCATGCAGTATATTGGTTAAGGTGCTGGACTTCACATGGTCAGCTGTGCAGTTGGAGTCCCAGACCCAGCAGCTTGAACATTATCCTGGCCACGTGGGGTGGGTGCCTAAAATCCCAAGAGAAGACAACTGTGGCATGGCCATCTCCTGGGGGCTGTGGGGGTAAGATTTCTCACTCCTCCCTCTGTCAAACACACATGTCGTACACTAAACTTAAACAAAAAAACCTCTCTCTGGTCCATTTTTGCCTCTGATCAGAAACCACTGTGTTGTACATGCCCACACAAGATGGCTCCATAGGGACCAGCACTTGGTGTAATGGCTATGTTGCTGGACTCCCACGTAGTCAACTGAGGTTCGAGTCCCGGACCTGGTGGCTTAAAACTCACGCTGGGCGCGTGTGCTTGCGTGCCCAAGATCCCGAGAGGAGAAGGGATTGTGCCGTGGCCATCTCCGCTGGGTGATTTCTTGCCTTCTCTCTCTCTCTCTGACTTTCTGGTGAGCGTATGTGCCCTACAGCAAAAACTTCTCAAAAAAGAAGGTGGCTCCATGGCCACCACAGACAGCCCTGGCAGGACTGTGTCTTATTTAAAAACCACTTTCCTTTCTCAAATAAGCACTTGGGGCAAGCTTTCAAGAAAAAAAAAGAAAGAAAGAAAGAAAAGGACAATACATATTTAGCTTATTTATGAGCTACTAAAGCCCACCATGTACTGGCACTTAGGGAAGCCTATGAGGTCTACTTACTGGCACTGTCACATCGTCATAAAAACTCCAAGCTAAAGCCCATCTCATTGTCCGACCTTGACAGAATTCAGTGTAGGTGACTTTGGGAACCTGAAATCAACAAATACAACATCTCATTAAAGTGAAGTCATTTTACCAATATGTTTCTGAAGATGCCTCACTAAATGATCTGTTTGCCCTTCTTTTTCATCAATTAACAAACATTATTAACCAAAAGACGGTTATATGAGGGGACTTCAGAAAGCTCATGGAAGGTTAGCAACATAGTCTGGTGGTGAAAGGGGCCAAAAAGCGCATGGCTGACTGTGGTTTAAATCACGAGCGAGAGGGGTGAGAGACTGTGTGTGGGGGAATGTGTGTGCGCGTGTGTGCATGGCTGCCCAGAATCCTAAGATGGAGATGTAGAGAAGAGATAATGGCCCCAATGGAGGTACTTTCTTCCTCTCCTTTTCTCTGACAATTAAAAAGAAAAAAGAAGAAATGGAAAAAAAAGGCAGATAAGCGGAAGGAATTAAAGGACATGTTTATTTTGGTGCAAAATTTAAAATCCATGCATAGTTTTTTTTTTTTTTTTTTTTTTCATTTTGTCAGCGGGAACGTGAACTCACCAGAGAGTCACAGAGAGAAAGCATCCCCCTGGGAAATGGTCATGCTGAAATCCCTGCTCCTCCATTTCTCCATCCTATCAGAATTTTATAAGCATGCACATTTGCCTGGTGTGTTTCTTAAGCTACTGGGCCCAAGGCTTGAACTGTATGATTAACTATAGAGGATCTGGCAGCCTTAACCACCAGGCCATGGAGCTGGCCAATGCAGTATTTTTAAAATACACATTTCCATAACTTTTTGAAAACCTCTTGTACATAGTTGCCTAATAAAATTTTAGAGAGAATTTGCAGATCTGGCTTGAATATCCAAATATATGAAACACATAAAACGTAGCTTTTTGCTTTGAGAGAGAGAATTTTGCTATATGGTGCATGCGCTCGCCAGAGAGACAGAGATAAACAGAAAGTGAGAAATCACCTCCTGGGATAATGGCCATGCCATAATCCCTTCTCTTCCATTCTCCTCTTGGGATCTTAAGCATGCAGGTATATGTGTCTGGCATGAAAAACATAGCTCTTTAGAGAATCATTTATAAAATGATTCAAATGATTTTATTTTCTTTTTTAATTAAGATAGTTAAGCGGCCAGCAGGTGATGGGGTGCCTGAGGTGCTGGAACATGGCTGACCAACAGTTCAAGTTCTGGACCTAGTGGCTTGCTCTCTCACTTTCCCCTTCTCTTGGTCTCTCTCTCTCTGTCTCTCTCTCTGTCTCTGTCTCTTTGGTCAAATTAAAAAATTAATAACAACAAATAACAAATAAATAATTTAAAAAGAAAGTGAGTCAGTCAAGCGTGGTTAGACAAACTACCTAATCTCCCTCTATCAGATTTTAAGAAAGAAAAAGGAACTATTTTGTAGCTTTCACAATTTTACTTAAAAGAGTCTGTGCTGTGGATAAGCAGAATATCAGAGAGAAACCAGAGATCAAAATCTTTGTTTTGGGGACCAGCAGGTGGCATATGGTTATGTTGCTGGACTCCGCCATGGCTGACTGCTGTTCAAGTCCTGGACATGGAGGCTTGAAAATCATGCCAGGTGCATGTGCATACGTGCCCATCCTCCCGGGGGGTTATTTTTCGCTTTCTGTCTATCTCTCGTGCAAGTGCACACACCATATAGCAAAAATCTCTCTCTCTCAAAAAATAAAAATAAAACAAACAAACAAACAAAAAAACTCAAAGATTTTTGTTTGGGCTAGCATGTGGAGTGGTGGTTAAAGCACTGGATCCAACATGGCCAAATGTGAAGTTTGAGTCCTGGACCCAATGGCTTGAAAAACACATTGGGCAAAATCCTAAGAGGAGAAAGGACTACAACAAGGCCATCCCCCTGGGTGGCGATTTCTCATTTCTCCTTTCTGGTAAGCACACATCATATGGCAAAAAAATCTAAAAACTTTGTTTCTACCACTAATCTGACAGCGGACCCCTTTTGGTGAAAAGTTATGTTACTCATGCTAAATACTATGAACAGGGGGGAAGGGGTGGTAAGGTAGGGGAAGCATTTATTTGAGACCTGCCTTTTGAAACAGGAACAAGGGGCTGTACTCTGTGGACTGTCGCCCTGGTAAAGAGCACACTGTGTCCTAAGACTGTGCTCTAGTTCCGGCTGCTCTCTGGTAACTCACTGTGTGGCTGAATCAGCCCCAAACACACCTAGCTTTCAGTTTTTGCACCACAGAGGAGTCAGCTGTGAGGTCAGTGGTAGACACTAGGCTTTTGGATTTGTAGTTTCTGACATTCTACTCATCCTGTTTGCCCCCACATTTTCTCTGCTATAATTCTCAAGGAAGGCCTTGTTTTAACAACCTATAAAGAGTCCTGGGAACCAGCAGTTAGCGTAATGGCTCTGTCGCTGAATTCCCACGTAGTCGACCACGGTTCGCGTCCCGGACCCGGTGGCTTAGAACTCACGCCGGGCACGTGTGCGTGCGTGCCCAGGATCCCGAGAGGAGAATAGAGGAGAAAGGATTGCAGCGTGACCATCCCCCCTGGGGGTGATTTCTTGCTTTCTGTCTCTATGTCTCTCTCTGTCTGTCTGGCGAGCGCACGCGCCCTGTAGCGAAAACCTCTTAAAAAAAAAAAAAAAGTCCTTAGTACTAAAATTACGGAATTAAAACAACAGCATAAATGAAAATGCTAATACTCAACATCAGCAGAAAGTGCTGGCTGACACTGCTAAAAAGCAGACTGAGACACAAGGGAGGCCTGAGTTCAACTCCTAACCCACTGGAAAAGCCAGGCACAGCGGTACACCCGCAGCTAATTCCTCAAGAGGCTGAGCTAGGAGGACCGCCACGAAGCGAGACCCAGTCTTTTTCATTTATTCATTTTTAAAAAGCAAGACAGACCAGAGCAATAATGGCAGAGCCTTACCCCTTGTACGCGAAGCTCTTCCTTCAGAGGAGCCAGGCTGCACTTCTTTCCCAGCATACAGCTGTACCACCTAGAGACATCAGACAAGTAAACACCATTTATGTGGCTTTATGTGTAATCCACGTATTACTCGAGTGAACGTGATGGGGCGAATACTGAGCTAAGCTACAATTGAAAAAAGAACTGCAGATAATGTATTTACACAGAAACTAAATTTCGTGATGGAAAACTAGCTCAAAGCGATACAAAGAAATGAAATCCACTCAGCCTCTCCACTGCTTTAGGGCTATTAATATTTGGAAAGAGAGTGAAGGACTGAGGTCTCATCTGATCACAAGGAAGGCCCTTTAGCTCTAGGACAGAAATTAGTCAATAAATAACAAAAATGTGTATAAACATTCCCTATACCACACTAAGGGAAGTTGTAAAAGCAAGCATGACTCTGTATTATGAGATACCCTCACATGCACATGATCTAAGGATAGAAATTACATCAGAGTTTCAACAGATCATGAAATCAATTCGCTCTATGGTAAATACAAATCCAGAAGAGAGTATGGAAAAGATGGAATGAAATGGTTAAAAGGTAAAGGCATAGAATTTACTCCTTCCAATTATTCTAAAGTTTACAAAGTATAAATAAAATCTGGCCAGTTGGTAATGTGGAGGTTAAGGAACCAGATCACACATAGCTAACTACACCATCTGAAACCTGGATCTTGCACCTTCAAAAACACGCCAGGTGTGTGTGCATGTGTGCCCCAAGTCCCAAGAGGAGAATGTCAGAGAGGGGATTACAGTGGGCCATCTCTGGTGGGGGTGCTTTCTCACTTTCTCTCCTTCTATATGTCTCCAGAAAGTGAAAACAAAACAAAACAAAAAAGATATACAGGATTGTGGCATGGCACATGAAAGATGTACTGCTATGGGAATTGTCTTTCCACTATAAACAACTAGAAACCTGGACAAAATATATGAAACAGCTGTTTGTCGGACATGGGACAAAGGGCAGTGCAGACCTATTATTTCAGAGAAAGAAGCGAACATAGTGAGCCCTACAACTGCCACAGCTTACTGCCTGAAGGAAATTTCCAGACTGC